CTCCCCGCGCTGCCTGTGCTGAGTGGCTGCAAGGATCTGGTGTTGCCGGCAAAGGGCACAGGAGGGGTCTAGCTCAGGATAATTACAGGGACCCGTGCTAGAGTCTCTCCTGGCGATAAGAGAGTGCTTTTTCTGGCTCTGCTGGGCCTGCAGGCCCATACGTCCTTTATTCTGTGGAGAAGAGCAGCGTGTGAATCTGGATGGATTTGGAAGATATCTCTCACATCCTCTTTTCTTTTTCTTTTAATCTTATTTTTTTTCCCCTGTTTATTCACAGCTGGACATCTGAACACCCAGACACACTAGAGGTGTCTGTACCTATTCTGTTGTTTGGGGGTTTTGGTTTTTTGTTGGTTTTTTTCCTCCTTTGTAGCTGTGGGCCACGTCCCAGATAGCTATGCTAAGATGCAGCAATGCATTTTAGATTTAAGTGCAAGTACTTCCCGTATGTTTCCTGATCACTTTTGTGATTTCCAAAGGTTAGACCTTGATGATACTTCTAATAATGGAACTAGATGTTAAAATTCTAATTCTTTTAAGCTGTTAATAACTCCAAAGCGTATCTCTGCTTTTATTTAAAAAAAAAAAAAAAGAAGTTATTTCAGCAAGATACTTTTTCTGAAGTACAACAATTATTGAAGTATGCTAATGATCTTACATTAACGTTTGGGTAATGTGAAAGAGAGACAGAACTTGGTGATGGATTTTCTTAAGTTGTCAAGAAAGTACTTCTGGTTTTCAGCATAGTAATCTTGTTGCTAGCTAACTAAAGCATTAAACTACTCTTTGGTATGCTAAATATATTCTGTAGGTACACTTATTTCTTAAAAGCATTGTGCATAATCTTCATCCTCTTTGTAGGAAGATACAGTCAAAGATGCCTAGAGTTTCTTAGTCTTTGTAGTCTTTTCTGCTATGTTCATTATTTCATATATCGATTGGTTCTCTGGCCTTTGCGTTGAGAGAAGAACACGTTGCAGAAGATACCTGAGCTTACGCAAGGTCACACAAAGTCAATACAAACCACAAGACTTTTTGAGTTTAGCTAAGGGCATCAACTCAGCTCAGAGACAGTGTTTTATGATCTGCTCTTGGAATTTGTCCTTGTTAATGTGTCAGATCAGAAGCAGAGAAGTGACATGGTTACGATATAGCTGTCTTAACAGAGTAGACCTGTTCTTGTGCTTTATATTTATATTTGTGTAGCTTCAGGGTGTTTGTCTTACGTCTGTTCTAAGTATGTCAGAATAACTTCCTTGCCCTCTGTGCTACATGTTTAGCTTTTTCTCTTTTCAGGTAATAATTTTTAGGAAATCTGACTCTACTGCTGATCTAGAAAGTCTGTGATCTACTATGGCTTTTTTCCCCTAATACTACTGTACAGCTATGAACTTTAGTACCTGTGAAGAGGTCAGGCTCAATTGATGCTGGCTTGCTTTTTTTAATTACTCTTTTTGAACACCTAGGTGACAGGTCAGTCTGAATAGCATTGTAATAAAGCAGATACATAAAGCTCTACTTTTCTGTGAGCAGTATCTCAATTTAATAAGTTCTCATAGGTTATGCACTATTCTGAGTGATTCCTTGCTTTAGATTTAATACAATGTAATTTGGTACTTGTTATTTTAGAAAAAAGAAAATAATATATTTTTATTGTCTTGGTAATTAATTTGAAGAGTAAGGTGAGAAATGTGAATGGAAAATGTAATGGTAAATCTGGAACAATTTGGGGAAGAAGTTCCCTTATAGTAGCGAAGTTATGAGCTGGATAAGCCTGCCAGTGTTAACTGGTGCTCTGTTCATGCTGGTGAATGTAAGTGTAAATTTTTGTTCATGTTCATAAAGGAATTTATTTCAGAAGCAAAGAGACAGGGCAAAGAAGCTCTGAATAAGACAAGTTTTTACTGTCTTGATTTTCGTTAGTGTTTCTCTGAAGACAGCTCTTACTAAGTTGGCATAACACTGTAGTGTCTGTTCCATTGTATTGGAGCAACACCGCTATATCTAATAGCAAAAGAACGTAGATTGTCCCTTTCTAGTCTGGGCAGTATTTTCTACATAGTGTATTATTTTCTATATGCTTATTCAGTATATCAGTTTTACTTTTATTTTTATATTTGAAATGCTAAGCATAGTAGCAGAACTGTGCTGCTACCTTATGATTATTTCATGCTGTTAATTGTAAACTTAAGTGCTTTCTGGTTGCACTCATACCCTTTGTATCTTCTTCAAAAATGGAAGAGGGAAACTGATTCTTGTTTTTCAGCTGCAGTAACTTTGCTCTATTGGAATTTGTGAAAATAACTTGCTCTTTTAAGTCTGGATGGTTTTATAAGCAGTACTATATGGAACAGTGCAAACAAAATATCCCTTGATTAAATGTGATCTGAAAGATTCTTTAACGAACCTTGTTTACGAGCATTCAGTATGACAATTAATATAATAAATTCTGCAATTTCATTAAACAAGCTATATAAATCTGAGATTCTGTATTTGAAAGAAAATTTAAAAAAAAACTGTAAAGAATCTGAAAAATAGCTGAAAATATATCTGTGTAAAGAAAAATCTACTGCTGATCTCATAGATCTGTATAGTCTTCACTTAAATGCAGAAGTTGCACTATCACAGAATATTTAACCAAAGAAGCTTTGTCTCTAGAACACTAGAGAAATACTCTTCTTGCTTAATTCCTTGATATAAGAAAATGTTGGATATTGCAACTTTAAGTCATAATTTCTACTAGTAGCTTCTGGGATTAATTTCTATGGTTTAAATGTGCTGTGAGCTAAAACTTGACTTTCTTTCATTGCTTTTTTAAGGGAACAAGCTCAATTTGAAAAGTCTAAAATCAAATCCTGAGAGTCCAAAAGGTGTTAATTTAAAGCAAGGGCATTATTTTTGAATATAAGGCTACAGTTGAATAATATAGCATGGGAGATTATTTCAGTTTATTACTTTTGAGAAGATCACACTCAGTCAATTGTGTTTCTTTTCTGCTCTTTGCTGCTATTTATGATTGATCATATATATGTAATTTTTTCCGATTAACTAGAATACAGCTGTGCATATGGCTCAGGCAGATTCTTTATGCTTTGTGGCCTTGGTGGGATTATTAGCTGTGGAACAACACATACGGCACTGGTTCCTCTGGACCTGGTTAAATGCAGAATACAGGTTTGTTCTGCATGTTGGTATGTGGTGACATTGACAAAGCATGTTTAGTGTGGTTTAATTAATCTACTAATTAATTGGAGGCATAAAGTATCCCCTGGACATCATTGTCCACCAGTGCATGAAGTTTATGTAAAAGCATGGTATGTCTTTATTTTTTGCTGCAGAATACAGTTGTGAATATGGCTCGCTCAAGTTTTACGCTCTCTGTGGCGTTGGTGGGGTCCTAAGTTGTGGCCTGACACACACTGCTGTTGTACCTCTGGATTTAGTGAAATGTCGTATGCAGGTTTGTATTAACTTAAACATTTCTTAAAAGCTGTTCTCTAGGTAGCCAGCATATTAAGAGTTTACAGTAGGAATGCAGTCTTTTCTAGATGGAAGGAAGAGTAAACTTGAATGCTGCTTTATCAAGTCTACTGCTGTGAGACTAACAAAATACCACTTTCAAGAGAAGCAAAGGCATTTAGGATAATCTGGATGAATTATTTTTTACTATCTTTAAGACACGTTTAACTGACTATATTTGCTAAAAGGCAACACCACGATGTTATTCATTGCTGGCTGGTAGGCTCTCTAGCATTATCTGTGTGCTTTTGGAGAAAATAAACAGTATCTTTGGTGTTTTGAAGATCTGCAGTTTTAGCCTGGAGTGACATGCATGTGTAATTTGATCCATTAACATTGTGGTTATCACTGCATGGTTTATGGATTGGATACTTTCTTATGATACCACTCTGAATAGAATGGGTAGAACTTGTTATGGTATTGGTAAGGCCATCAGTGTTTTTGGCTAGTTTTCCTTGAAGTGGTTCTTGATGGAGCTGAAAGGAGTGTCGTCACATTGCACTTAACTTGCGATACTGTCTTCCTTATTAAAATCATCTAGTGAGCATCCATGGATAAAAACATACTAATGGATTTATTCAGGCAAATCTGTGCTTCAAGAATGAAACAAATTAAAAAAAAACACAAACTCTTCTAGATTTCTGGAAATACATATTAATGACTTCCCTGTTGCATAGGTTGATACTGATTATAAAAGCGGTGATTTTGTAACGATAGAACTCCTGAAGTTAGGAGGGAACTATGAATTAGTCTGACCTTCTAGTCAGACTAGGAGTACTGCATGTGATACTCTTTAAAATTGTTTTCTTCTGCAAGGCCTTTATTTAGCATTTTTTATGAGAGAGGCCTTTCCACATACTTGAGAGCACCTGAAATCTGGTGTCAGACTAGTAACTCTGTAACACCTTGGACAGACACAGGGTTCATCAAATGAGGGCAACACACTGCTTTCTAAAAAATTTGCACTGAGGCCAGGCTAACTGTGTAGGAGTTCCCCAGTTCTACTAGTAGTGAATAGCTGTAGCTGAGTACGTGTTTTATTTCTGAAAACTTAGCCTAAGTTCACTCTTCTGTTGTTATGGACTTCAAAATCCAAGATTCATAGCTTGTCTACCCATGCCTAAGGCCGAGTTTCCTGAGAAGATTGATCATAGGTAAAGAGGATATAGCATCTTAAAGAGTTCTTAATATGATTGCATATCGAGTTAATGGGCAGAAGGCCCAAGAGCTATACAGTGTTGCATATACAGCTGGGAGCAAGGCCTTGATACTTCCAGGCTTCAAATGCTTGTTGGGTATGCTTGGCTTGGTCTACCAGTCCTGGGTTTCTTAGGTGGAAAGGGTGGTCATACTTCCCCTTCCTTCTCCAGCACTTAAAGGAAGGTGCAAGAGGAGGGTTCTATGTGGATTCCAGGTTTGACCTTGTAAAACCTGTCAGCATTTATCTCTCTACAGATCCAGTACAGAGCATGTTGCTAATCCTTCCTAGATTTTCCAGGAAGAAACCTGTTGCCTGCACTCTCATGTCTTTTTAAGAAGAGGTCCCCTTTTATGCAGATGATAATTAAACATGCTTCCGGCATGAACATAGTCTTATTTTACAGTGCCCAGTTAACTATGCAATTTCCTGAATTTATGAATCTTGTAAAATTGGCACATTTAGGTGTAACAAGTTCTCAAGTAGGTTGTTGCCAGACTGCAAGACAAAATATCAGTTACTGCAGGTTGGCAGACGTGTCCCGTAGCTCTTTCTGAAAGCTTTGATTGACTTCTAATTTGATGTCTTCCTTCTCATCCTCTGAGGAAATGTTGGATAACATCAAATATGAAAAGTGATACGTGATGTGACTTAAAATTTGTCAGAATAATGTGTTTAAGAATTTCTGTTAAATTATTTCCTTTCACATAAAATTAATCAAGTTGATATTTTTTAATTTCTGATAAGTTATTATCAAAATAACACTCAAAGGTTTGTGTGCAGAAAATGATTTGTATGTCCAGGTGTAGAAGTTTTTTGAGTGCTTTTTGATCTGCTTTGCTCCATCTGTCTTAGTCTGACTGTGTGGATGGATCAAACTAACAGTGGACAAATGACCTTTCCTGATGAAGAATCAGGTGAATCATCAGACTTGGCTTGTGTCAACACCTGAGTGTACTTAAGTGTGACGTGTAGAGTGGATAATATTGCTGGCAGAAGCTGCCAAATTTTTAAAGAATCTGATCTGAAGATAATTATACCAGTATGCTACCAACAAGGTTAGAATAGTGATTTCAGTAATGTTTTCGATACAGAAAGTCATATTGTTGATTTGGAGAATAAATATAAAGCAAAATTCAGACAGTTTGGTGGTTGCTGAGTATTAAGGAACATACTGGCTGTTAAAATAAGTTAGGGTTTGAGACTAGCAAGTAACCATTACAGTTTCATTAGTGTAACTTGTGATGAGCACATTGTCTGTCCAGGGAATCTTAGGAAGCCAGCTGTATGAGGAATTTTAAGAATTTTATATTTCAGGTGGGGGTGTGAGATGGGAAATAATAAGCTACATCAAGCAGTTAACTGCCTATTCTGTTTAGGTTGATCCACAAAAATACAAGAGCATCTTCAATGGATTTTCAGTGACGGTCAAAGAAGATGGCGTTCGTGGCTTGGCTAAGGGATGGGCTCCCACCTTTATTGGATATTCCATGCAGGGGCTTTGTAAATTTGGTTTCTATGAAGTTTTCAAAATCCTATATGGCAACATGCTGGGAGAGGTAAGCCTTAAGTGGTTTACTTGGGGCTGTATATCTGCAACACAATAGTATTAGTAATGCGGAGTAATCACAAAAGCACGATTCATTAATGAAAAACGTGTGTTTAATTTCGCTTCAGGAAAATGCGTATTTGTGGCGTACTTCGCTATATTTAGCCGCATCTGCCAGTGCGGAGTTTTTTGCTGACATTGCTCTGGCTCCAATGGAAGCTGCTAAAGTTCGTATTCAAACACAGCCTGGATACGCTAACACTCTGCGGCAGGCTGTGCCTAAAATGTTTGCAGAAGAAGGCATCTGGGCGTAAGTATCTCCTTGGTTTTTAATTTTATTCTTGATGTTGAGTATTTTTTCCTAATGAAAGATTGTTGCTTAAACTAGTTGTGGTTTTAGATTATTTTTGTCTTTGTATTTCATGATAACAACTTCAGGGAGTGTGCTGAACTGGCTGTTAATTCCACATGCTCCTTAGATCCATCTTTGTGAGTATCTTTGTGCTGAGTTCTGCTGGATAACTTCAGTTTCTAGCAGTTCCAGTCAGAGATATTCAGCAACTTTTTGGTTGTACAGTCGAAGATGCTTGAGTCATTGGCATGTGAGAGTAATATAACTGCATGTTAGCTTTCTGTTCTGATAGAAGTGGCTGTAAATATACAAGTCATTTATCACTGTCAGAACTTGGCTGGTGTGCAGACATGAGCCTTACTGCACTTGTCCTATCAGTACAGCATTACTGCAATGTATTGTAATCTGAAAAGTGGCTACAAAAACAGCTGTGCAGCATAGGGATCAGGTAAATTCTAATTTGTGTTGCTGTTTTAAGTTACTACTCAGGAACTACTAATAAAACTTAAACTTCTGTTCTGTAAGTATTGAGACACTTAAGCCTTACAGTGTCAGTATTTAGAAGTTGTATTCCTGATAGGAATAATAAGCTAACTAACTTTTTTCAAGTTAGTAACGTACTTACAATACTGGAAGAAATGAAACTGAGTTTGTCTCTTCTCTCATTAAGTTTCTATAAAGGTGTTGCTCCACTATGGATGAGACAGATTCCATACACAATGATGAAATTTGCCTGCTTTGAACGTACTGTTGAAGCTCTCTACAAGTACGTCGTTCCCAAGCCACGAAGTGAATGTACAAAAGGAGAACAGCTGGTGGTCACATTTGTTGCAGGCTATATCGGTAAGGAATCTTTGAAGTCCCACAATTCCTTAGTAGCGTGTACCGCATACTGCAGCTCTAAAAGCCTATCCCTTTTCAGAGCATCAAATAGATTTAACTAGAATGGGAGAATTTACTTGTAACTTTAAAATGTGCAGGGGGAAAAAAAAAATGTATTCAAACCATAAGTGGAAGCTGGGTCTGCAGTAGGACAACACTCTTAATTGTTCCTGTCCTGTGTATTGCCAATGTTAGTGTCCAAGTTCAGAAGCTGCAGCTAATTTAAGTGAAAAAGCTTGCATCTTTGCTAGCCTGGGAAAGTTTGAAGGAAGGGGAGAGAAATCTGGATGAAAGGGGGATTTTTCAATATCCAAAGATGCAGAAGGAATTTTGCTTTAGTAGAAGAGATGCTGCAAGAGCAGAACTGAGGTGTTTTCTAATATTCACGTTGCATTATAAATACGTACCTGCTGTCCTTTTAGGATACCAGGAGGCCTGACATAACGTTTGTGCGGTTTATTAGAAGGTGTGGTTTCAGGTGGTTGTACTTAATGTACACAGTAATTGTACAGCTAAAACACTACAGAACTAATGTCAAATTACTCTTTCAGCTGGTGTGTTCTGTGCAATTGTTTCCCATCCTGCTGACTCAGTGGTGTCTGTGTTGAACAAAGAAAAGGGCAGTTCTGCTTCACAGGTTCTTGTAAGGCTTGGATTCAAAGGTACATCCTTACTTTCATGTATTTTGGATCAAGTGTTTGTGGTGTTTTGGGGAGGATTTCTTCTTTTCCTGGCTTCTTACACTACTCATGCTTTATATTTTGCTCTACAGGTGTATGGAAAGGTCTGTTTGCTCGTATCATTATGATTGGTACCCTGACTGCACTACAGTGGTTCATCTATGATTCTGTGAAAGTTTATTTCAGACTTCCTCGTCCACCTCCACCTGAAATGCCAGAATCTCTGAAGAAGAAGCTTGGTCTAACTGAATAAACAACTCATGGACTGACTATGCTGGCTGTCCCAGTGATGAGTTTCATTAAACTTTTATATATTTGACTATGTAGAAAACAAACAATATGATGTTGTTGGCTGTGCCCTCATCTCACATGAGGGTTTAAATTCTACCACTGTCATTGCCTGAAATAAATGAGAAACAGAATGCTTAGTGTCTGTTTACTACTGCATAATTAAGCTTCATTTCATAGCAGCAGTTACCTCAAATACTTACCCCCCACAAAAAAAACCCAAAAAAACCCAACCTATTCTACAGGTGGGAACCAGAGAACTGTGAAACGATTGTAACAAAAATAGGCTTTAACTATTTCCAGAGAAGTGCCAAGAACCTATCCTTGCAGAACTGTAGAAACTAACTGCAGTTCTGTGTACTTTGAGAGTTCACACAGTTTTATTTGCCTGTAATAAACTCTTACTTTAGAATAGCTGAACTGAATGGCTGAGATGAGTCTGCAGTCTGATAGAGCATCCTGGTCATAATAATCGTGTTCTCCACAGAGATAAAAGGAACCGTATACATAATATAACCATTTCTGCTTTGAGGAGGTTGTCTCAGCATAACTAACTCACTAATTTGTGCTTTTGTTGGCTTTGAACCACGCCAAAGTACGTGGTCCTTTTGGTTGTACTGTGGAATTAAACAGTAGCTGCTACCTTAACAAAAGAAAAGCTGATGTTAATAAAGGTTCTTAAAGATATCGGACTACTAAATGCTTACTACAACTTTACAGTAAAATGAAAATGGCTTGCCTCTTATTGTAGAGTTTCACAAACTTCACAGCTTTTCCCTGTGCTTGGTACTCTTGTAGTTAGTTTGTTTTTTTCTGAACTAGTTTAACTGTAATGCTGAGTTTCAGCTGAACTGTGCACTTCTGCACTGCAGGAAGCCATACCTTTTTTGGTAATTGATCTGAAGAAATCCAGGCTCCTAGGCCTGCAAGAGCAGACAGGGGCAGTTTTGTTAAGGCAGTGAATTAGATTTTTGCAGTTTTCATGCTGCCTTCTGCGTTTTGCCTGTTCAAGGACCCACTGTTGATAATCACATTGAGAAAAATCCAGAAAATGCCTAATATTATATAAAGGTTTCACTGTATCCAGTGCTACTTTGTTCACTTAGTAGAGCTGGAGCTTAAGTGTCTTCTGTGCAAAACTGTTTGGATATACTGCCTTTGTGCATTTGAGCTGATGATAATGAACTTAGCTTGGCACTCATGTATGTTGTACTGCTCCTTCCTCTTCATGTGTGTCCTTCAGAGTCAAAAGGACAACTGAAGTAGGTGCCAGTGGAGTGTCATAAACTGCATCTCACTGGAGTCTGATGTTCCTGCAACCATTTTAAATAGCATTGAGCTTCGTGCCCCCTGGGAAAATGCTCTCGACTTCCAAGATTTTGGATGGTTATGCTAAACAAGCACACTGAGCTTTATTTTAAATTGTTGCCATTCAAAATGTGGAGTAAAATCTAAAACTGCTTTATTTCCTTGTCACCATGACAGTAAATACATTCTTAGTACCAGCTACGTTATACAACAAAGGCCATAAAATCTAAATAAAACTTTTGTGCAACTACTTGGCCCTATTGTAAGTCGGAAGCTTTGAAATTATTTAACGAATCCTGAAATGCTCCTAACAGCTTCCTGAGAGAAGAGCATTAACTATGACTTGATCTGGTATCAAGACCATTGATGTTAAATCAGCTTCTGAAGTTAACTTTTGTACGTGGTTCAACTTACTAGAAAAAGCAGTATCACTTTTGGGTACTGAATATCATAGTTTCTTCAAAGGCATGTTTTAACGAAGTAGACTTTGCTGGAAAACATCTTGTGTTCCTTCTAATCCTGGGAAAGTGAAGCACTTGGTTGACTTCCAAGGCTGTCAGAAAAGTGACAAGACTTGGCTCATGCAGTGAGTTCGTCTTATTGTCAAGTGATGCAATTATAAGCTAAATTTCTCACTACTGTTTCTTGCCATTCTATGTGTGGAGCAGAATCACAATTTTTCTTTAGAATTGGGTCACCGTTGTGCAGCCATTTTAGATAACGTGTAGTAATAAGAGAATCTTAAACCCATTTTCTCATTGCTCAGGGGTAGACCTGAAACTAGCTTCTTAAAGATGCTCAGATAATTTTATCAAGGTAAATCTGAGATAAGACTAAAAGGGGCAGCTAGCTGTTCCCCTTTTCTTCTGTAACTGAGAAGGGAAAATATGCTTCCTGCTACTCCAGTGTTGCGTTTCAGTGGAAAACCCGAGAGGGGGAGGGAGTTCCCTTGCAGCTGCTGACTTCATGGACACTCAGCCATAGGCTTGTTCGGTTGCTTGAGATAAAGGGGTTTAACGTATAAAGTGCCATTGTTCAAAGGGTCACCCACTGATACGTTAAATAAGCTTCAGTGGGAAAACTGTAGTATTGAAATACATTTAAAAGGTCAACTTTGTCATTGATAACTGCTTTATAGTACGATGCGTGATACGTTTTCCAGAAGTTGAGAAGGTGGGGCAGGGGAGCAGTGGTGCTTTTGAGGGACTTTCGCTTTACTTGCAAAGAAAGTCCTGTATCAAAAAGGATCACTCCATTTTGAACTTGGGTAACTCCAGACGAGTCACTAAACCCCAAAGTGCTTTGTAAAACATGGGTGATGTATATGCTGCTTGTGTATATTGTTTAATGAAAGAGAAAACCTCCTTTCTTGCTATTACTGGAGCTGAGATCAGCTTTCTGGTTTAGAGCATACTGTCTATATAAATTTGGAACAACTCCATGCATTTGTATCAGGTTGTACTACAGATCAAATGTACTGATGCTTGCCGAAATGTTTGTTGCATATCATTTTAAAATGGGCTGTAATCATGCAAATAGTTGTAATTCACTTACATTTCTACATAGAAATTATGTAGTTCACAGTGAAAGAAATAAACATTCTGCTTTTTTATAGCAAATATGAGTACCTTGGAGAGTTGAGCTTAGTAGCTACATGGCCTCGTTATGGAATAAGTTTTTTGTAACTCAGAGTGATGTGGGAGAACGATGTCGCCAGCCAGAAACTTCTTGGCTGATGTTCTGTTGTCTAAAAGTAGATTTGAACATGTTGGGATTACTTTGCTTGTGTCATTTTTCAGCACTGATCACATAATACTGTTGCTGTTATGTTTTGTTTCTTTCCTTGTGAGTTGCTGACAATATAATTGTCCAGTTCTATACCTGCATACTAAGTTAAAAGCAAAGATGTCCTGAGCATCATCACAGGTTGGGCTGCGTGGGATGGTATGTTTTAAGTAGTGTAGCTGTAATTTTCATTATTACCTGAATCTCTCAATCACTTAAAAAAATTATAAAGAGTATCACTGAGTGCCCCTAGAAATGAAGGAAGGGGCTATAGTTTTCCTGAGCTGATGCTCTCCCCACCTCTGACAGTACTAAACCAAGGAGGTGAGGTTAGTAGTCTGCTTTAAACTTATGAAAAATACCTCAGTCTCTGCCCCATCTTTTTCACTGTAGAAAGAGCTTTGCTTCTGTCCTTAGACCAATGCAATTACAAAGCTACCCTAAAACTTTCATACAATTTTTTTTGTACAGTGGAGCTGTGTGCTTGAAGGGCAAAGAAAGATTTGCAATACCTGTGCGGATTATGGCAGAACTACCAATCACTTGCCTTACTTCAAAGGACAATACAGTGGGTGTGTAAACCTCAGGTCCAGATTTTTTTCCCCAAGTAAATATTACCTCTGTGACTTGGACTTTTTCTCTCTCGCTTGTAGCAACAATTTCTGAGAGGATTGTAATGCCTTGGACATGCAGTCCTTGTGGAGGAAGGGTGGGTAGTCTGTACATCTATAGATCATGTGAAGTTAATGGTTCTGTGACATTTTTTGCATACTTCCTGTGGAGACCATGAGCAGGACTGTGTACTCGGCTGTTCACTAGTAGATGTGTTTTGGAATTTGGAGGTTATTCATTTGGGGCTTGAAAGTGAAACCAGCAGTTGTTTATTCTGGCTTATTTTCTGGTTACTTTTCCAAAGAGAAAGCTTGCTCTTTTCATCCAGAAAGACCTCTTTGCTGTGTCAAGGCTTGTCTCATTAACTGTGCAGCTGGAGTGTATTTTCCACTTCTCTTGTGTAAATAAAATGTGTATGGAGATTTTGCTGAGGTAAGTAAACTTCACATTAGTCAAAATCTGATATCCTTAGGATACACTATTTCCTTAACTCATCCTTTCATCACTTGTTACGATGGTTGCATAGCTCCTTGTTTTAAATCCAAAGTCTCGGTTTCTTTCTACACTAGAGGGCAGATTTATTCATTAGGCAGTCTGTATTTGTGTGAGAAAAGCCTAGCTATTGGCATATTTTGGACGAAAAATATTTAGTGCCAAGTGCTTTCCTTGATGTGACTTTCATGAGCTTGCTCACAAAAACCCCACAGGATTGGTGGATTCAGTGAAATCCAAGCTTTACTATACAAATGAGATATTTATTATGTAAACCCCAAACTCCTGTGGTGTATGTATATGCATGTATATGTATATTTTCAAGTATGATACAGAACACATGCTTTAGCATGGCTGATCATTCTGGATGTTTTTTTAATTTTTGTTTCCTTCAAATGCCATTTGGTTATTTTCAGGGCCTTGCTCAAGAATGATGTGAAACAGCAAAGGGACACTGGTTGGTAAATAGTGTCTGTGGATGCTTTCTAGGAAAACTTGTCTTTTGACAGGTTAATCCTTGTGGTCTGTCATGTGGACTGGAAGAGGGTAAAAGAAAATTGGGAGGTAGGAATGGACTGATACCAAAAAGAGGAAGACTTTTGAATGAAACAAAGCATGTAATGTTGACTTAGGGCAATGAGGCAAGCAAGGTACAGAAGACCAGCAACATGAAGGCAGCCAAAAGACATGCAGCTCTGAACAAGGATGAGAATAATGAAGGAGGGGAATGGTATTAACCTTCCATCAAGTCAATTGCCTAGTAGCTGCAAGGTGTTCAGGCTTGACCAGCTAAACAATGGAGAAGGTATAAAGACCTTACTGTATGCTTATACTTCTTGATATAATTTCATTTGTAGGGATCTTCTGAATTGCTGTATCTCTCCTAATTGTTTTTATAGTAATTTTTATTCCTATTTAATGCACTTTTCTCCCTTTCCTCTGCTAAACCCATTCCCATTATCTTGTTACTTCAGTCTACTGCTTACCGCATTTTCAAATGTCTCAGATCTTTTAAACTCTTGCTTTTCACCACAGAAGGACTGCCAGTGGCTCTTATCACTCCAACCTCTCAGAACCTAAGTAGCTTCTCTTTGCTAATTCTGCTCACTATAGTATTTTACAGGCTAAGAAACAATGAATGAGTTACACTTAGGTTTTCCGAACAGACACAGCTCTGTTTTAAGGAATAACAGTGCTGCACAGTCATTATAATTTACAATTATAAAGCCTCACAGAAAACCTTATACAAACTATTCTATCTAAATGTGTGACAGACTTTTTGCAAGGCATCAGTAATGTTTCTGGGCATTGCTTGCTTCACTGCATTTACCTCTTTTTAATATTATTAAAAAAAATTATATATTTTTCAAAAATCATAGAGTGAATATATTGAGACAAATACTAAATTGCTCCTGCAGTTTGACTAACTCTTGTTTAACTCTGTCTGAAAACCACAATTTTATTCCTTTATTTGGAGCAGTAAAGGGAAGCTGAAGATCTGTCAGTCTTGGGCCCTGCTTTCTTCATGAAAGCAAACTCTAAAGGCAAGAACATTTTATGCTTTAACACTGTTTTACTGTACAAAACAAGCAGTTTATTAAATAAGGAACTGTCATCCTTCAGAAAGACAAATACATGCACAGAGACATGTTTTTTGCTCACATTATAGCTTGTCCCTTGAAATCAGTATGACTTTTTTTCTGTCCTTTTCAAAGGAAGAGGACAAATCTCTTCTAAATAAAGCCTTGTCTTTCTTGGTACTACACGTGATGGGGTCCATGCTCCTCAAACACTACTATTCTTTAGGCAGTGACATTTCACACCGATCAATTCATGTCTGAAATCTTGCTTATTTCATTTTTCATATCTTTGATCTCAGTTTGAACTCTCGTGAGGTTGGCCAGTTTCTCATTCAGTAAAGCAATTTCCTTCTCCCGACGTAATACGTCATCCACTAGTCTTCCTATTCTCACTGTTAGGTCATTTATTAATGGCTCCAAGACAGCAAAATCCTTTTTAAGTTTGTACATCTTGGGTTTTAAATCATTTGCAAATGTAACCGTCTTCAGAACTTTTGCTCTGTCACCTTCGAGATTCAAAAGTCTACCTGAATGCTTGTTAAAATCGCTCCTTAACTCGGACAGTGCTGTCTTAATTTGTTCAATTTTTCTTGCGTTACTGGATGCCAAGCTTTGTAGTTTTGTACTTCGGTCGATGCTGCTGGTAAGCAGTTCACCTATATTTTTTACTATCTTCTTTTCACCTTTTTCTCCTTTGTCTTCGAGTGTTTGCAAAGAGTCTGTCAGTGCAGTCATATCTGAGACTAGGCCTGAAATGCGCCTTATGTCTGTTTTTACAGTCACAATCATCAAAGTTATGTTTTTTGCTACAGAAGCTGCATTCTGTTCGACACTTGAAACTGCGTGAAAAAGAGTTGTTAAATTCTTCTGCAGTTCTTCTTGTTTTTTAATTATGCTGCTAGACCATGTTTTCATTTTATAAATATCTTCCTGCAGATGTTTAATGTGAGAAATTATTTGAAGATCTTCCAGCTGTTCCACTGAGTTCCAAGTCTTTTCACACTAGAGAGATACAAATAAAGATATTTGACAAGATTTCTAGCTTAACAACTCACCTCAAAATTAAAGCTATACTCTAATGAAATATCTCACTATTCTGATATTGAAATTAAGCACAAACCCTGTCTTCAGGAAATAAACTTACATTTTCCTTTCAGTATATATAACAAATACAAATGTTACTACTTTTTCCTATTATAACAAGAATTACAGGAAGGTACTGTATGACTTTCCAGTATGACCTCTGAAAATATAAGTCATCAAATGCAATCTTCTTCTGATTTACAGAAATTTTTGTATTAATCCTATAACCTGTGTGATCCAGAAAGACACACGTTGAAAGATACACAGAAACATTTTAGAGAGCTGCCTACTTTAAAATTCTCTTATCCAAAAATCACAGACCATAATTAACCAATGTGTTTTTACTGTGGTAATCATGATATTGAACCCGGCATTCTCAGAGGAAAAAGTCAAAGGAATTAGGCATGGTTCCCTTTTGTTTAAATAGCCACCAAAATACTTAACAGGAAAAATATTTAAACAGCCTTCCCCCATAAAAGCTGTCTTAATGAGGGAACACTCATACTGCTGTTGGATTTTTGGCTGAATTTGCTAGTTCACTTTGGGTTTTTTTAACTATTGGTTCTTGGTTTTCAAATTTGAGAGGAAGAAAGGAAAATACCTGAGTGATACTATGATGTTCAATCCCCAATAAGTCAGTGTAGAACTTGGAAAGAAAAAACCATCAAATGGGCTATAATTAGTTTCATACTAATCCTTTTCTTGACACTACTAGTAAAAATACCACCAAAGAAACAACTATTTTTAACTTTTTGATAGTATTGGTCACTCCTCACTAGCACTGCAGAACTGTTTGCTTAAAAACGAAATATTAAAATTTAGGTTGTGGAGAGTTGTGCTGGTTTTTCCTAGGTAGTGCTCTCTAAGGATGAGGATTTTCTGTTCAATCTCATGTACATTCAGCTTTCCATAGGGCTGAGGCTGATGAAAGATGGTAAACAGAGGAGTGTACCACTGGTAATATAGCCACCCTTCCCCAAAAATATGTGAAGTAGAAACACACTGGAACACACTTGTGAAAAGTATTTAAAAACCATTTCCATATAGAATAGTATTTCTTAATGGAACACTGAACACTAAAGTATTCCTTCTGGAAAAGCAATTTATTTTGAATTAGATTATGCATCAGGACAGGGAAATCCACTACAATATATTTTTATTGAATATGACTGTAAACAGATACAAATCTTTATATAAATAATAAATACATGAAACTGATAGCCTTTATAGCACTAAGAAATGCTGGTTTAATAACAAGCATTTAATTCAAGTCTCTTGAATGGGCAGCATTAACTGCTTCTTGAAGATTTCAGTAGAGTTCTAGATAAATTAATGTAAAAACCAGAATAATTTAACTGAAGCCTGATTAAGTCATAAATGTTGTGGGTTCATACTGTCTACTAAGCAATCTCCTTTCCTGAGTTCAGAAATAGGAAATTATCAAGACACAAGTCTGTAGACACAAATTAACAGCAGTCTTGAGATCCAAATTTCAATGAACAACTATTATCAGACCTATTAGGTAGTACTACATCCTGTGTAAATAGATCTATTAGATCTATGGATAAATGAGATATTCCCTGCCTCCAGGTACCTAACTCCATGGTTTTCGTTAATTGCTTTTGCAGCTCTTGGTTCACCAAACTTTGGGAAACAATGTCAGTGACACTGTTGGGTTTTTTTTCCCTTTGAAATGCAAAGCAATTCCAGACATGTCATATAATGCCTAACAGAGAACATTCTCCAGAAGAAAAGGTTAAAACTTGTAAATTGTAACCTGATATCTCCGGTTTTGACTTTTGTTTTTTCTTAAATCGAAATATTTTTCTTCAAATTCCTTTTATTAAAAAAGAACTTGTAACAAATAAGATTAAAAAATCCTTAATTTAAGGAAATGCTCCTTTATTTCTTGCTCTCTAGCTTCTTTATTAAGTTTGCCTTTCAGTCTGGTCCAATGCCTATTTAAATTAATGACAATATTTCAGCTATCCTTAACAGATATTGGAGTCACATTAATAAATTAAAGTGCCATTTTATCAATTAAAACCCTAAGTACAAACTCACTTATCCCCATTCTGGTCATTTTCTAAGTCATAGCTTTCTAAAGTTTTTTCTTTAGCCTTTGAAGATACATTTACGTCACCCTTTACTTCTTCTAAAACCACTATTTCATTTTGCACTTTCAGTGTGCTGCTGTTGTACTGAACGCCCTCAAGAACCTTCTGCATCACCATTGTATCGGAAACAGTTTTCAACATAGCATTTTCCACAGTATACAGCTGTGTTGTCAAGTCCTCTATCTTTTTCTCCATACTTAGCAATTCACTTGATAATCTAAGAATAGAGTGAATAGCATTTTCAATTGTTGGCAAATGTGTCTTGCACTCCTCGATTTTAGGTTCATAGTTAGCAAGTTTCTGATTCAGGTCTGTATCCTTGGCTACCAGATTATTCTGTTCTTCTTCTAGCTTTTCAACTGCCTTTGCATGCAAGTCCAACTTCTGTTCAACTCTAGAGAATTCATCATCTTCTTGCCTTTTTAGTGTTTTAATATTTCTGGCCGTACTGTCTTCCAAATCTTTTACTCTTTCTGAAAGGGATTTAATTCTTTGGTCAACTTCATTAATTTGGGAAGTAACTTCTGTATGTATGAACTTCGCTTCAGATTTTAAACCGCTAGTGTTTGTGTTCATTTCATTCAAACTTCTTCTCCAGGAATTTGTAACATTTTGGAACTTCTCATTAATGCTCTGCATCTTTATAGAGAGAGTCTGTTCATTGTTCTGAATATCATTTATGACGTTATGAAGAGAAGATATTTCCTGCTCAAACTCAGTCATCACAGAGATGGATGAGGCAGCTTCTTGTAGAATACTTTCAGAAGACTCAAGCTGTATTTATAACACAAAACAATGTCCACATCTACTTAACAAAAGTAAGAATAGGAAACCATTTGCATTTATTTAACAGAGAATAAAGTCCCTTGGAAGCCACTTCGCTTATTACAAAGGTCTTATACAATTTGTTTTCATATTTCATCTTTAAAATATTGTTGATTAACCTAGCATGAAAAATTCACAGAAAAGGATATGTTTATTGTTGAATTTTTATAGAATGCATTCCATTTTCTTTGTTGTCAATCCCTTATTTTTCATGGTGGTTTTGGAGTTTTTGGTTTGGTGGGTTTTTTGTTGTGGTTTTGTTTGGTTGGTTTTGTTTGGTTGGGTTTTTTTGGTAACATATATCCCACTACCTAAATCCCATGCAACATTTTGCAATCTGAAGTGTAGTATATAAATATCCAAATTACATGATGTATAAGTGACATAATTATGAGATCGGTGCTAAAACAAAGTCACTGGCATAAGCCATGCTGTACTCCCATCATTATCTGTATGTTATAGGGGATAATACGGCAGCCAGCCCAAGTTTTCTACTTGATAATGTCACAAATAGATAAGAAAATAAAAGAGCAATGAAAAAAAAATACTATCACTTCATTATGTCTTTCAGTTATTAGAACAGGTCTACTACATAAAGATGCCTGTAAATTTTCTTCAAATCAATGTATATTAGAATTACACACAGAACAATACTGGTAGAATGAAGTATGTGCATAAATATAAGTTTTTAAAAATAGTTTGGTGTCTAAAAATAATACTGAGATACAACCACTACATTCACATACCTGGAAGAATGATATGGATTGACACATTTAGTGGCATGAAATATTCTCCAAAGGTCTATTCATAGGCAACTAGATCACATTATGAAAATTTGTTTTAAAACAGTCAAATTTAACTAAATGACAACAAAGTAAAACAATGGCAAATATTCACCAGAGGTTATCCAAATAAGATGTTGATGATTACCTTTTCAGAAATTAAGTTAACTTTATTTTCCACATCCAGGAATTTTTCAGCTTCTTGCTGTAAGAAATTGTACTTTTTTTCCATATCAGCAAATTGACCTGACTGCTGAAATAGGAACCTGCAAATTGGAAATAAATAAATAGTAAACATAACTACATAGTTAGCTTATATTAAGTGTTCCAAGACCCGATTCACATCAATCTGTTACTGCAGGAGTCTGCGCTCACAGATTTTGATAGATCGATACATGAGAGAAAAAAAAGCTATTAGAGTTTAATGATGTTTATCTGTCTCCATATGGGAGTTATCTTCCACTAGAGGTGGAAACACACAGAAACAACCATAGGTGTGCTTCATTTTCACATAGTATGCCATTCAAACAGCAAAAACGTCCAGTAAGATTACTGACATAGGGAAGCCACTACCTGCTCATGATGTCTTGCTTCACAGGTAAGACAATATATTTTATTGATAAAATATTATTTAACTGGTGGAAATAAAACACAAAAAATAATTTGGACTTTCTTGCAAAGCATCAAAAAAATCATGCATGGGAACCTTTGCATTTAGAAAGGCTGGTGAACTCTAATGTTGTTTAATTGTAACCATCCAAGAACATATGGTACCTTGTGGCAAAGCTTGTGTATGGTGATGCCAGCTTTGAACAGACAGTAGAGATCTCAATCCGGTACTTTAGATACATACAAGATTCATTTACTGTGAACTTGGGAGCTTTCTGAACTGTAAGCACTTTGTCCAGTTAAAATGGAAATGAAATGTTCCTTGGATGAGCAAGGAACTTCTGGAAAAGCTCAGTCAGAAGAAGGAAGTCTACAAAATGTGAAAAAAAGGCCTGGCCACTTGGGAGGAATATAGGGACATTGTCAGAGTATGCAGGGATGCAACAAGGAAGGCCAATGCCTGCTTGGAATTGAATCTAGCAAGGGATGTCAAGGACAACAAGAAGGGCTTCTTCAAATACCTCAGCAGCAAAAGGAAGATTAGGGAAAATGGGGGGCAGCAGAATGAGGTGGGTGCCCTGGTGAGGGAGGATGCAGAGAAGGCAGTTACTGAATGCCTTCTTTGCTTCGGTCTTTACTACCAGCCCTCCGGAATCCCAGGCCCTGCAGGTAGGAGAGGAAGTCTGGAGAGAGAGGAAGACTTTCCCTTGGTTGAGGAGGATCACATTAGGGACCGTTGTTGTTTTTTTTTTTTTTCACTCAGAAAACTTTGCTTCTTTCTCACTCTGTGTTTATTTTTCTATTTCTGCTTTCAAGCACTGAAACAATGTTAATTTTTCTGGATAACAGGTATCCCCCTCAAAACCATACTTTTTAAAAAAAATCACCATCATCCCAGTGACATAAACACCATGGAAGTATTGATTCTGGAAAAGAAAGACATTTTTTCACCGATAGGCAAATCGATGATGGGACATTGCATCAGCTTGCCCAGCGGTTCCAGAGAAGTTCTGTTCCTGATTCAAACTACAGCTGAGAAATAGCACTAGTATTTTGTGACATGCACTCCTGCATTCTGGAGGCCATCTCTAAGCAAGTAGAGGAAGGTTATCAGGAATAGTCAACATGGATTCACTAACGGGAAATTATGTCTGACCAACTTGATAGCCTTCTATGAT